ATAAATTAAAAGGATCTTTAATTCTTTATTTTTTTCTTTATTATTCCATCTTGATTGATACTCTTTTTTTCTCGTGAGATTCTTTCTCTTCCAAATAATTACAACGAGAGTTGAGTCATGAACGGATAATTTCAATTCTTGTTGTATCTTATTTGAAAGTTACACATTTCATTTCCAATTATTTGTTAATCTATTAATATTAGTTTTCTTTTGATGAAACCATTAATATGAGGTATATTTAGATTATTAAAAAACTAAATTTATAAAAAAAAAAATTTATCAAATTACGACGGGGCAATGTCGTTAAATTCATTATTAATCATATCCCAAAAGATAAACATTTCATTAGTTTCTAATCATTTTGTTCAATGAACTTCACTAAATTTCAGATGAGAATTTTATGATGTATATAGATCATGTTTTAATTGACAAATGAAATAAATAGTCTTACTTTTTGTATTTTTTTATTTTTTAACACTATTTTCATGATAAAAAAAATTATACAGTGGCGAAGGGCATATAAATACCAGTTTTATACGATAATAGGGGCTTTACTTTCCAAAAGAATTATAAAGATTCAATTCAAATTTTGAAAAGTGTTAGGGATTTAAGTATTAGAAATTTAATTTATAGGTAAATTATTATTTTACTTCTCATCCAGTATTGTACTCAATTTATATTGTACCGTGATTAGTCATTATATAGGCTCACCTACTAGTATGTTAAATTGCACGTTATGCCAGAAGATAATATCATCAACACATCCAGGGGATGACTAGAGAGATATCAAATTATATAATGAATTGCAAGTAGAGGTGGCCACGGGCCGGTTTTGGCCCGGAACCGGACCGGAACCGGCCCGGTCAAACCCGAGCCAGCGGTTCGGAACCGGAACCAGCCCATGGCATACGGGCCCGGTTCCGGTTCCAGAAAAATTTGAACCGGCCCGGAACCGCCTGTTCCGGGCCAGTTCTGCGAAAAAAATAAATAAATAAATAAAAATTTTTAAAAAAAAAAAAAGTGCGGCAGGTGCGGCCAGAACTGCATTGCGGCCATGTCGAGTAGCAAGAAAGCTGCGGCGCCGTTGCCGTGCAACGGCCAAACCCAAAAAAAAAAATAAATAAATAATTTATTCGCAGCAGGCCTGCAGACGTGCAGGCCCTGCTGCAGGCTTGCACCTTGCGGCCCGTTGGGGCAACGGCTACGCCCCAATGGGCGTTTTTATAAAAATAAAAAAAAACACATAACCGTTGCAATTTTGCAACGGTTATGTTTTATTTTTTTTAATTCTAAATTTTCTTCTCTTTTTTTCCTATAAATTCTCTCAGATTCTCACAATACACACACAATTCTCTCAAATTCTCTCCAATTCTCTTCTCTCAAGTCTCAAATTTTCTCAATACTCGAAATTCTCTCAAATTCTCTGAAATTCTCTCAATTTTCTCAATCCACGCAATTCTTTCTTAATTCTCCCAATTAATCCGCTCAATTCTCTCAATCCATTCGAAAAATGGCAAGTGGAAGTCGAGTGCCAACTGGCAAAGGTAAGAATATCGCGACGGAATCCCATCATTCTTTGATCCTCGTGAATATGCAGATTTTCAAGATGATGAAATCAACATTTTTCGCGATGTGGAGCGCGTCCCTACGCAAGAAAGTTTTCATCCTCCTGCTGAAATATCTACAACAAAGGAAGCGGAACGGGAATTTACATCTGACATTTGGAATCACTTCACAAAAATGGAAAGGTTTGATATCGGTCAAAAAAGGTATGATATAATTTGTAAATATTGTGGAAAAATATATAAATATACAGGTGGACAAGGATATGGAACATTTAAACGACATCTTATGAGCAAACATCCAATCGAAACGGGAATCGATATCGGGCAACAACAAATTTCCGGGTACGTCAATCCTAACACTTCCCCTTTATTTCGTTTTAATGAAAAAACTTATAAGGAAGAATTAGGCAAATTTATTTCCGTTGAGCATTTAGCATTTAATTTTGGAGAAAGATTTGGTTTTAATGAATTTGTACAAAAAGCATGTGCTCCACAAGCAAAACGTGTTCCTAGAAATTCAATTAAACGAGTAATTAAAGATCTTTACAAAAATGGAAAAAATGATTTACAAAACTTTTTTATGCAATTTAATGGATGCGTGCATATAGGTAGTGATATTTGGAGTGATCATTGGCAAAATCATTCTTACATGGGCATAACATGTCATTGGATAGATGACGAGTGGACTATTCAAAAAAGAGTTATTGCATTTAGAGTTTTCGATGATCATCATACGGCAAATAATATTTATAGAATAATTAGGCAAGTTTTAGAAGAATATTATTTGCTTAACAAAATTTTTTCAATTGGTTTTGATAATGCCGCAGCAAATACCGCTGCAATTGCCGAGTTAGAAAATATTTGTAAACCCGCTTTTGGCGGAAAAAATTTTCACATTAGATGTGCTTGTCATGTTTTAAATTTATGTGTACAAGATGGTTTGAAAACTCTTGATATTTTTCTTCAACCAATAAAAACGGTGATTCAATTTTTATGGAAACATCCCAAAAAAATGAAAGAATGGGGTAAATTTTGTAGAGATAATGGCAAAAAGCCAAAAAGATTTCCAAGAGATGTTCCAACTCGTTGGAATTCTACTTTCCACTTGCTTAATGAATCTTTAGCATATAAAGATTTATTATGTGCATTCATTTCTAATAATATACCTCAGATTAATTTATACCCACAAGAGTGGCATATTTGCCAAAAAATTTTAGATCTTTTAAAGGTTTTTAATGATGCAACTTATACTTTGTCTGGTGTTTATTATCCTACTACACATTTATTTTTAGTAGAGTGTACTAATATTGTCGGAACTTTTGATGAATATGAAAATGATGTTGAATTACAACATACTATAGTTGCAATGAAAATGAAATGGCTTCATTATTATAGTGAAATTCTCATGATTTATTTAGTTGCTTGTGTTTTTGATCCGCGTTGCAAATTGGATGGCTTAAATGATTTTTTGCGTGCGTATTATCAATGTTTACATTATGATGTGACAAATGTTACAACCATAGTACGTGAGGTTAAAAACGTAGTAATAGAATTATATAATGAATTTTATACTAAATATAATTTAGGTGATATTAGATCTTCTCAATCTACGGAGATACAAAATGACAATATAGGTAAAATTAGTAGATGGTACCAACTTTTATTACATAGACAAAAAAAACAAAATGGAGTAATAGGAAATATTTCTGAATTAGAGAGTTATCTAACCATTTTATTTGAATTTACTGAAGCCGAAGGTGGTACAGATTTTTTTATTTTGGATTGGTGGAAGAGGCACGCAAGCCAATACCCAATCCTTTCTCTTATTGCAAAATAGATTTTTTCAACCCCTTGTTCCACAGTTGCGGTCGAACAAGCATTCAGTGCCGGAGGTAATATTTTGAACGAACATCGTTCAAGATTAGATCCAGAATCAGTGGAGATGCAAGCTTGTGTTGCTGATTGGACGAAGGCTCAATACCGGCAACAAGAGATAAATCGGAATAATGAATCCGAATTCTTTAACGACGGAGATACTACCGCTACCAGTATCGGTACTGGAACGGGTAGTGACGATTGAGGGTAAAAGAATTATTGGAGTTGGCAAATATTTCGGGAACTCTTGTTTCTCATACCGGGTACGCCCACGTGAGCTTAGGGAAACCGAAATATAATCCGACGATATGCGACCTCTGGTCCCCTGCGCACGGAATGCTTAGGTTTTGGGATAATTTTAGGGTATATATATTGTACTCCTTTTTTTTTAAGATCGTTGTAACGAATTGTAATGTGCTTAATGATAATTTATTAAGTTGAAGCTCTCTCTTTCTCTCTTGTCTTTTTGTCCCCAAATTTGAGTACAATTTACATTTTAATCACAATTTATATTGAATAATGTTCTACCACAAGAATAGTATTTTTTTTTATTTTTTTTATTTTCATTTCTGTTTTTCCTTTTCTGTTTTTCTTTTCCTTTTCCTTTTTTGTTTTTCCTTTTTCTCTTTTGTCATTTTTCCTTGTTTCTGTTTTTTAAAATTATAATTTATATTTTAATTTTTTTTTCTTCCTCCGCGGCCGGCCATGGCCGGGGCCGGCGCGAAGGTCGCCGCGTCGGGCGAGGGCCCTCGCCGCGTCGGGCCAGGGCCCTCGCCGGCGTCCGGGCGAGGCGGCCCTCGCCCGGGGCCGGGCGAGGCCGGCCTCGCCACGGCCCAGCGAGGGCCGGCCTCGCCCGACGCCGGCGAGGGCCGCCTCGCCTTAGGCCGGCGACCTCCGCGCCGGCCCCGGCTATGGCCGGCCGCGGAGGAAGAAAAAAAAAAGAAAAGGAAAAGAAAAAGAAAAAAAACATAAAAAAAAAAAATCGGAACCGGCCGGTTCCGGTTCACATTTGGCCACGAACCGGAACCGGTCGGTTCCGAACCGTGGCCACCTCTAATTGCAAGTACAAATGCATGATTATCAAATGCAACACAAATAATTTCTTAATCATATTACTCAAGCTAATATAATTTCGAGACAAACATAATAAACATAAAAGGCACATCCGCTAGGGTATGTTTTTTCGAGCTAAAGTGAAAACAAGAAATCATTTTTTTCTTTTTTGTCGAAATTTAGACTATCATTTAATTTTTGAAAATTTCTTAAAAAATCGTACGTGAATATTTTGCACTTCGTGAAATTTCAGATATTTCGGATTTAAAAAACAAATCAAATATTGCAGTGTGAAATTGTAATTAAGTGAAAATCAAAAGTAAAAAAACCGAGCAGCGTATAAAAACTTCTGAGCAAACGGCAACAGCTACTTCATCTCCACCTTCGCCTTTCATCTTTCACCGGCATCACTCGACGGCGAATTTACTCGCCGGAAGACAAACGCAGTCAGGGTCGGCTCCGGCGGCGCAGCGCCCGGTACCTCTTCCCGTCGCCCCCGGAGAGCTAGGGTTTTTCCCTGTCGTTAAGGCCAGGTGCAATGGAGGGAGCCCTAGCGAGCGCTTCTTCAATCGTGGACCAGAGGCAGAGGATCGAACAGTACAAGCACATCTTGGCCTCCGTCCTCACCTCCAACGACATCGCCCAGGCCAAGAAGTTCATCGATCACAGTTGAGTACTCTCTTTTGGACCCCCCGACAAATTCCCCCTGGCATCTCTTGCTAGTGTTGAAAGCTAATTCGCGAATGCTGTTCTTGTTCTTGTGTTGGGGAGTATTTTGCAGTGCTCTCCGATGATGTGCCGCTCGTGGTGTCGCGGCAGCTGCTGCAGAACTTCGCCCAGGAATTGGGGGTTCTGGCCCCGGAGACGCAGAAGGAGATTGCGCATTACACGCTCGCCCAAATACAGCCTAGAGTCGTTTCGTTTGAAGAGCAGGTTGAGTTTTTATCATTCGCTCTCTTGTTAAGCCCCCTGGAAAGCGCAGATGTTGACCGAATTTGATTCTAGAATCTTTTGTTCTCATTGATGGCACCTTAATAGATACTGCACCGAGATGAATTGTTTTAAGATAGATCAATCAATTTTGCTCGACCCCTTCGAGCATCTATATTGGAGTAGAGGGTGGGGAACTCCTTCCTTATCCTTTTTGTGATGGTGGTACTTTGATTAATGTCTACTGGGATTGGGATGTATCTAATCCAAGAGCTAGTTTCGTGGTTTTGGGGGGGGAAGGGGGGGAGGGGTTTAAAGTTCTTAAGCTTAAATTGTAATGTATTGAAACTGTTGATGGTTGATAGTTACTCCTATCTGAGTGGCAGGTACTAATAATTAGAGAGAAGCTTGCAGAATTATATGAATCAGAGCAACAATGGTCAAAAGCAGCTCAAATGCTTAGTGGCATTGACCCAGCAATGAGGTATGGGTGCGAGTTTAACGTTCACCTTCATGCATTTAGCTCATGACGTATTTGTATCATCATCTCCATGCAATATTTACTGGCTTTTGCTATTTTATATCTAAATGGTTTAATATCTTGAGTCAGCATTGAATCTTGTCTTATGTCATCAGGATGATAGATGATACTTTCAGATTGTCAAAATGTGTCCAAATTGCTCGCCTATACCTTGAGGTAAGGACCTCTACACAATTACTTTTTTCTGAAGTGAGGGTGGTCAACTTGTGATGCCTGTGAACCAACAAATTTGAAATACTAGGGCTGGTACTAGAAAATGTTTCCAGTGAAAATGGAAATGAGAACACCTTTAGTTTTCATCTTCAATTTCTTTGGAAACATGTTTGGTATGTGATATGAAAAAGAGAATTCTCTATCGCAATGAAAATTATGCAAACACGTTTGGTTTTTTAGTTCACAATTGAAATGAATTTGAGAATTACAATGTCCACATCTATCCCATCATATGGTATATTTTATCAAAAAACTGCTCAACAACAGATAGTATGATCTGAGGTATTAAAGAAGTCGAGGTCATGATGTTTATACATATATGACGTGGAGGAAAATCCCATTATATACACCTCAGTTCAACAAGAAATATTAAGAACTCCAATCCTGAATCATTACCAAAGTCCTCCAGTATACAAACGAAACCTTCTATTAATCCATCCTGTGAAGACCATTGGAAGAACGGCAAATGAATTTTAGATTGTGATGCCGTGCTTCATGTTCTGTTGTTGATTACTTGCCAAGTTATCAGGCAAGCTGGTGATGGCTTTGATCTCGAGCACCAAATTCCAGTACATAAGCCCATATCAAATCCCAGACAATGCTGCAAAGCATCATGGCTAGCACCTCCACAACCCAATTCGTTTAGCACCACTCCATACAGTGGCAGACTCGAGCGATTGTATGTATACTGATTGTTGGTAGATACACCTTAATCCAGTTCTGTCAAGCACAAAACTTAAGGGAGTTTCGGCCACCCTCAATTGACTACTCCTTTGCTCGATTGAAGCTGGATTGTTTTCTTGGCGTAACCTCCAACGAAGATGAAGAAGGAATAATGCACTTCGGTGTTTTCTGCCTGCAAAAGTGAAAACGCGGGAAAAAGAGAGTGACATCATTTTGTTGTTTTCAGTCTTGTAGTAAAAGAATGGAAATCACTTCCCTGTCCCTTTCATTGAAAATCAGTTTTTGAAATCTTGCCAAGCCTATTTTCAGATCATTTTTCATCATGAAAATGGTAATGAAATTTTGGGAATTCTCCATGAACCAAACTGCCCCATTACTTTTTGTAGTTAGTTTATTCATTATGTCATAGCCTTCAGACACATTGCTTGTAGCTGTTATCATGTCGGTTGGGATTGAGCACATCACTTGATATGTGCACGCTTTCCGTCTCTGGACTATCTTTGCAATCTCTAAATCACTAATCTTGAAGTCTTGGTACGAATAGCAATTGCTGTGTTCTATTTCTTGTTTGTTTCAGGATGACGATGCTGTAAATGCGGAAGCTTTCATCAACAAAGCTTCGTTCCTAGTTAGCAATAGTCAGCATGAAGTTTTGAATTTACAATACAAGGTTTGCCCTTGTTTGATGTGTAACAGCAAGGATAACTATTTTAAGCTAGCTTTTGTCAAATTGATTGTTAACTTGTTATGATTTTCTCTTCTTATCAGGTTTGTTATGCAAGGATTTTAGATTCGAAGAGAAAGTTCTTAGAAGCCGCATTGCGGTATTATGATATATCTCAGATTGAGAAGCGACAAATAGGAGATGAGTATGTACAGTGAACAGTCTACTCGTCTTTTTGTGATATATTTGATGTCTATTGAGACTTGATGATCAGATTGAATTCCTTCATTCTCTTTTATGGGTGGAAACTATCTGGTTTCAGTCATTTTTTTTCCCGTAGATAACGCATGTATTATATATATGCCGTTGTCCAACAAGCATTGCAAACCTGTATGTTTTTGGATGTCATTTATTAAAAACCTGTACGTGACAGAATCTTTAACACTTCTTTATAAGTTTGCTATTATTTGAAGGGCCAAGCATGGAAAACCTAAAGCATTTCTCCTCAAGTTTCTAGTTTCCCCGTTTCGATCTAAAGCACATAAAAGAAATTAATTATTATTCACCATGAATTACTAATTAATTTTAATGCCTCCATTTCAATTATATGTCCTTTTAAGGTAAAATGCAGGTAAAGTATACTTGCATACTTAAAAAGTAATGCAAATGTCACTTTAAATCCGTTTAGGCCTTAAAAGAGCATATAATTGAAATCAGAGATGAATTCAATATTTGGTGTAGATGCCCATTTCGTCATATTCCATTTAGATCATAAAGTCCTAAACTATGGTTTACAATTTTGAATACATCGAAATGAATGGATAAACAATTGAATGCCGCGGACCTATACATTTCATCTAAAAATGAAAGAATGGTCATAATGGAGTACGACGCCTTAATCATTCATTCTAATATGAAAAGGGCATTTAAACCAATCATTGATCATTATTTATGCATTTTTTTTTTGAAAAAAATGTGCCAACTAGTTTGCAAAATTATAAAAGAAGGAAGTGGAACGATACTTGCTTACCAAAATGTTTCGGTTTGGTTTTAGGTATACCAACCATAAAGACAAGCGAATGCAACCAGTGAGGTTCTGACGCCTAAAAAGGGTAAGGTATTCTAAAGGCTTGAGGTCACCACCTTAATGGATAAGGGATTCCATTCCAATAGGCAATCAGCCTAAAGTGAAGGAATATTATTCATCTCGGTGATCGGTATTATATTTAAATGATCCCATGAACAATCGGTTCACAGTTTCGCCTAAACATATACCTCCTAAAGGTAGACCTAATCGTAGCCGGGGTTGGGCCACGGGTGGTGTGTGCTAATGGTGTAGTGCTTAAACTATTCAAATGCATGCATAGCAATTAATAATCAAACAGCACTTCTAAAATAATCATTTCACATTCATTCCCGACACCATCCTGCAAAAACATTTAACACAATTGTCAGCGAGACGTACTTGGGATCCTTGCGAGCATAAATCACAAGCGTATCGTTCTATCTAGGCCTAAGTCCACTTAAAAAAGGTAAATCCCCAGCGGAGTCGCCAAGCCCGTCGTGCCGCGTTGATTTTTTGGGTTTTCAGGGTTTGCGCGCTAAGGAGGTATTTCCGTGCAAGGGTCTCTCCCGGACCACACTTCACGTGACAGCAGATGATAATTTCCTATTTAGTATAAGTTCTCGATTTTGGAGTCGCCACTAGTCATTGTTGGTAGGTTGATTAGAAACCTAATCGGGGTATGAGAGAAATACCACGATTCTACGAACTAGAGATTCTGAATACGGGGATTTGGTTATGTTAATGATCCTAAATTGAGATTTCTAACGCCCTTTCGATACCTAAAAACGATACGATGTCTAATGTGTCACGCAAGTTTCCAAGACTTACCCACTAATCCTATCCATTCTAATTGCGGGGAAAATCAATCAATAATTAAATGCGCAATCAATGTCAATCAAACCAAACAATCCTAAATTGTCTCTAAAAATGAAATCCAACCAAAACATTCAAACCCTAATGAATCCCTAAAGGCTTGTTTATTTCATGATTTGTGTCTTTTTAGGGTTTTAGGGTTTTTGAGGGGTTATAACCCCTGAATTTGAGATTTTCTAAAAATGCCAATTGGGCATTTCAAAAATTCAAATTTCACTTTCTAAGGTTGACCACAGTGTTTTTAAACCATTCTGTGAATTTTTGAAATTTTTTATTTATATATTTTTTTCGAAAATTGAATTTCTGAGAATTTCATTAACCGAGAATTGATTTTTATGATTTTCTGAAATTTTTTTTATGGATTTTCCAATTTTTTATAGATTTTTTGAAATTTTCACATTTTTTATTTATGTTTTCTGAATTTTTTGGATTTTTATGAATTTTCCAAAATTTTTTAACTTTTATGAAATTTTTTATTTTTTTGAAATTTTTATGAATTTTCCGAAATTTTCTAATTTTTTTATTTTTTATTTATTATTTTTTTATTAATTTTCCCGTCGGGAAAATGAACCGGACTGGCCCGGTTCAACCTGGTTCAGCTTGGATGAACTGGGCCTCGCCGGCGCCAGTGCCGGCGCCAATCGTCTCCTCTGGCGAGCACAGCGCCAAAACGGCGTCATTACTAGCGATTTTCTCTTCGGCATTTCGCCGAGCACCTAATGTGTATATTTTCTTATTTTGAGTTCTTGAGGCCGTGGTTTTGAGCCTTCCTTCGACGACCTTCCGTCGACTATTTCACCATTTCTTTTGATCCACCATCAAGTTCATATGACCAGCTATTGTCCTTATCCCATAGATTCGCCGCCGAACCATCGCCGGCCGACGAAAAGACGGTCGGGAAAACCTAACTTGCAATTATTCTATATTAACTGACCAAATCTTCAACTCACAATATAGAACACCCTAGCCATCTAACTCGATTCTAATCACTAACAAAACATCAAGCAAAGATCAAGGAAGACTAACCTGAGTGGCCTAAGGCCACGGCGACACTCCAGCGAGGACTCCCGAACTCCGGCGAGGTGGTTTAATGGGCAACCGAGACATTTTATGCATGTTTTCCAATAAAAAAATGCAATCAAGCAAAGTAAAACACGATTAGAACACGTTTTAAGCACCTAATATAGTAAAATCATAGAGAAACATGCACGAACAAACCAAAACACTATTATGGAATCTGGAAAAACGTGATCATGAGCGATGTTTACCTACTTCGTTCGATGATCAGGAGGAATCGCCGAATTGATTCACGCCTATGGAATCGTTCCTTGATACTTGAGCTTCAACCTGGTGGTCTTGAATTCGTAGAATGAGCTCTGGATGCTCCGGACAGTCACGGTTTTCAGAGCTTCGCAATCAAACTTTTGTTGGTCACCCGAGGAGGAGATCTCCTTGAATGATCGATTTGCCGGCGCCGATCACTCGATCTAGGGATCTCTACTCCTCTCTCTCTTTCTAAACTTTACATGTTTCTCACTCTTTCTCTCTCTTCTCTCTCTCTGGCATTTCGTCGAACATGCTCTCTCATCACGTTCAGTTTTTTCTCCTTTTTGTTGATCGATTTTTCCCACCCAAAATCCGTTTCCACCGCCTTCCGATCGGTTAGAATGACTTTCTGGCGCTAGCTGGAGATTCTCCAGCTGGCCAACTTAATTAAAATGTGTTAATTTGATCGGAGAAGGTCAACAAAGTCGCAGGTCTGAGAAGATATTTTCTGGGTTCATCACGTTTTGGGGCAAACCGGGTGAAGTAGAAGGCTGACCCGGGTCGGGTCGGGTTGACCCGGCCGACTTGGCAGTCCCGGTTTTGATTAAAAATTCAAATTGAGCCCAATTTCAACCGAATTTTCAAAATTAAATTCCAAAATTGAATTCCCCATAACATTCTAAACCCAAATATGTGATTTTCCCCAATTTTTGACAAAATCATGTACGAGATTTTCGAACTTTTGTATTCGGGTTATTGGGATTTTGTTCAATTCAATGCCTCAATGACCTGATTAGGAAAAATTGGCGCCAAAATTGAATTACCCACATCTTATTATCCCTAGAAATGATGATCTCATGGTTTGACAATTTCGAATTGGACACGATTCCCAATTTGGATTCAAAAATTCCTAATTTTCAACTGAATTTTGGGGTTTTCTGATTTCTTTTACAAATTGTGCAATTGGACCGACCATTTTGTAATTCAAGGTCCTAGAATCATTTGTTGTGAAGACACTATGACTTAAAAATGACTATAAAAGATCTAATTGCATTTTTGATCTAATTCGGGTTTGATTTTGCCCAATTTTGGGAAAAACACATTTTCGATTGAGATTTTTCAAAATTGATTATGTACTAATGAAATTGGATTTAAAAGAAGACTAATGACTATTTTTATGGAATTTTCTGATTCCATTTGCTATTTTTCTTGATTTTCTCACTCATTTGACTAAAAGAAATTAAAGAAAAAATTCAGGAAAATGCTAAGAAAAATCATTTTTGGTTTAGAAATAGGTTTCTAGGCTTAGCCAAAATTCCTAATCCTAATTTTGAGATTTTGGAAAATATGACAAAAAAAAAGAGTTAAAAATCAGGTGTTAACAGTCGCGAACGGTGCTCGCGCCTAGCACGAATGGGTCACGTCTCATGCACGAATGGGCCACGTCCCATGCACGTAAGGGGCCATGTCTCGTTCACGGATGGGCTCGGAGCCCTTCGCTCCCTTGGGCCTTGTCACAAGCATATGAAATTCATTTGGTAAGAAGACAATTAAATATAGGGGAATGAGCAAGTAAGGAAATATGGTAACTATATAACATGAAGAAATTGAAGTGCCTGAGTCGTCTGTAACAGCATGAAGGCTGCAATAATATTGATGCTCCCGTGATAGAAAACCTTGGTAATTGTGAAAATTTGCACTACATAGGCTCCGCACGACCCAAGGTTGGCAAAGATGGTGATCAGGACATGTTCTTTCAAATTGAAAGGTCCTTGATTTAGTGAGAACGCCCATCCCGTGAACAGGACTTGGATCAGCCTTGAAGGGAGCGTCGCGGCCATCAATCGTCCCGGGGGAAGTATAACAATTTGTGCTAAAATTGCCGAAATGCGGTATTGGTTAGTCTGATAGTTGAAGAATTGGTTGGTGAAGGACAAGATCACGCACGAGGCCACGCCGAGAACCCATGTCCTAAATGTCAGGATGGGCAGCGATGGGTCATCCGTCGGTGGAACCGTGAGGCGCACCT